ATTGGCGCCGTCCTGCAGCAATTCACTGAGGGATGCTGGAAGCCACTCGCTTTCTACTCCCGACGCTTACAACCGGCAGAAGCCAAGTACAGCACGTTCAGCCGCGAACTGCTGGCAGTTTATTCTACCGTTCGACATTTCAGGCACGTCTTAGAAGGTAATTCGTTCGTTATCTTCACCGATCATAAGCCGCTTATTTACGCCTTTCGAAATCAATCAGCTCGACACTCACCACGGGAGGTTCGTCAGCTGGATTTCGTGGCTCAATTTTCTACTGACCTCCGACACATTTCTGGTCAGAATAACGTCGTTGCTGACGCCCTTTCGCGCGTCTCCGCAATCCACACCGCTGGCCAGGCAATCGACTTATCTGCCATGGCTACCGCGCAACTAAACGACACTGACTGTCAGAACGTGAAACAAGATTCTTCGCTACAACTCACACCGCATCCACTGCCGTCGTCTGATGGCACAATCTTGTGCGATACTTCTACTGGACGACCTCGACCCGTCGTTCCAGAAACCTTTCGACGTCTAGTTTTCGACACACTTCATAACATCGCTCATCCAGGCATCCGAGCCACGATCAAGCTCATATCCGAGAGATACGTTTGGCCCGGAATGCAACGCGATCTTAAGCGCTGGGCACGCGGTTGTCTAACGTGTCAGCAGGCCAAGATACAGCGGCACGTATCCGCTCCGCTTGGTCGTTTTCCGCAAGTCTCAGCTCGCTTTGCCCATGTCCATCTCGACATAGTTGGACCCTTGGCACCATCCAGAGGAATGGTCTACATTCTGACCATGCTCGACCGATACACCCGTTGGCCCGAGGCAGTACCTATACCCGACGTATCCGCGGAAACCGTACCGTGCGCTTTTGTTGAGCCCTGGGTCACTTCGCATGGCGATCTAGCTACAGTGACTACCAAGCGCGGTCCGTAATTCGAATCCTCGACTTTCAACGATCTTCTCAAAGTCCTCGGATGTCAACGCATCCGGACTACCGCCTATCACCCGCAATCCAACGGCATGGTGGAACGTTTCCACCGACAGCTGAAGGCCTCACTTAGTGCCGCTAATGCACTAAGCTGGACCGAAGCACTGCCCATGATACTACTTGGTATCCGATCAGCTCTTAAAGCTGATTTGCACACGTCCAGCGCCGAACTGGTATATGGACAACCTCTTCGACTACCTGGGGACTTCTTTTCTGAAAACCCTAGAACACCTCGCTACGACGCGAATTACGCTCGGCAGTTAGCCACGAGCATGCGCCATATCAAAGCAACCGACGTGCGAGAACAACGACGTAAATCGTTCGTTCCACAAGATCTACTGCATTGCGCTTACGTTTTCCTTCGAGTCGATGGTCTACGCAGACCACTCGAACGACCCTACGAAGGTCCATTTAAGGTTCTTAAACGTAAGGACCGCGTATTCGTTATCGACCGCCACGGTAAACATGAAACCGTCTCTATCGACCGTCTCAAGGTTGCCCATGTGGAACCTGAGATCGACGATGACTCCTGTCCACCTTCGGACGAGTCAACGCAGCCTATGATCGACGACACGCCTACTTCCGATGCTACGAAGCATTCTCCGACTAACCCTTCCGACTCAGTTCCTTCCGATTCTATCGAGCCGAAAGCGTCCTCATCCGACAAAACTGCTGGATCGACAACGCCTCCGACCGAACGTCCGAAATCGACTAGGGCAGGTAGGCGGGTTCATTGGCCAGCGCGATTAAAAGATTAGTCTTCTTTCATTCTTCCTTTCCCGCTTCCTTTTTGCTTGTGGCCTAACCCGCCCAACAAAAACGTTTTGAAAACCCAAAAAATTTGCAAAAACGTTTTGAAAACCCCAAAAACCGCAAAAACGTTTTGAAAACCCAAAAAAGGAGAAAAACGTTTTGAAAACACAAAATGGTTCTCGCTTTATTCGCTTATCGCACTCGGTAAGTGCTATCGCCTTTTGTTAGCTCTGTCGCTCGCACCTGTTTGACACTCCGCGTTTCCGCTTCTTTTTCATATCCCCGACACGCGGACGTTCAACGACAATCGAACGTTACGTTTTCGGACACTACGTGCTCAAACATCGTGTGCTTTGACACTACGCACTCGAACGCTACGAACATTTCCCCCAATTTTGTGTTTTTGGCACCTGTAGGGAGGACACGGGTGGGAGCCCCCTAGCGTCCGATCGCATTGGTTCTCCCCCAGCAGCTGCATCAGGTTTCACCGCCTGGTCTCGCAGAAGGCTGGCCGGCGACGGACAGTCCTCACGTAGATCGAAGGGTCACCTACGGTTCCCTTCTAAGAGGGGGGCTGTGTAGTGACCTGGAGATTCCCCTGTTTGGCTGCCGCATGCTGCGTAAAATATTACAAAATCACAAAATTATATTTTCTCGATGTACATAGCAAAATAGCCGCTCGCCTGTTTGAACGTTGCTCGCGTTTGTTTGAGTCAACATAGCATCCGCCTTCGAACGGCGCGACGCTCCTCGGCTCCGCGGCCATCTTTGCTCTCCGCGCACGCGACCACACCTTTCCCCAGCTAGCTATCTTTCGGTGCCTTATTTTTAGCACTAGATAGCCTTTCGCCCACTTAACAAATTTTTCCTAGCGTTACTTTTGTTCTCCACTCACCAGAGGTTGGCCTTATATCCGCGTATTTGTTCTAAAGCGTACCGATCCCGCTTCGCGCTTTACCACCACGGTTTTGTTACTTAGTGCTACACCTACGCCAACCAAAACTGCTGCGGTTGCTTCTGCGTCCTTAGGTGGTAGTAGGAGAAATATGGCGCGTGGATGGTTAGAGAACGTAGTCACGACACTGAGATCGTGAAGCTGTTTCAGATAGACAGCAAACATCGTTGGTGAGGGATTCCAGGGTGCGCGCCCGACCAGCATGATGCCCGATCTGCATGAGCTTGCGTCCATCGAAGTATTACAGACGGAAGAAGGGTCGAGACTGAAGGATGGTCATTGGGGAGCTTTGTGGGTGTCGACGAAACCATCGGAACTATAATCATGGAAAGAGGAATCGGCTGGCAACGGAAAACATTGATTGATAACCCGTGAGCAGATGGCGTGTGAAGGTGTGTGAGCAGCGTAAGGAAGTGCGTTTAAGCGAGGTATAGCAGAAGTACGTTTCTTGGTTTTGACATTGACACTGATGTTATCTGCTTACCTATGCCGAGGTAGTGAGTTGTCTTGTGGACACCACCCCAAGCCTTTGGCTTGATCTGGAACCAACCAGGGGCTTAATCATTTTCGTTATGTCAACACACACTTGCTGAAGTACAATGCTCCACCGAGAAGAAACATGGGTAATAGCTTTATTTAGTGGCGGTTCACATCCACCAAATCACAATATTGTTAAACAGACTAATGTAACTTTCCACAGGCAGAACGCTTCTCAGGCGCAAACAGGCCACGTCATTGAACACCGCCGCTGAAGTGGTTTCTGGAAATGCGCAAACCTGAAGCACCCAGGTGGCAGCAGGAGGATGCAGTTCGGCAAGCAAACTTCTATCCGGGACACAAAATGATCAGATATTTGCCTATCGAGGATACCGGTAGCTTACGCTAGCACGAATATTTTGGATGGTAGGTGGTCTGGAAATTATCACACTAAATGCATCTCAGCACGTATTTTTATTCTGGATTTTAGAATCCTATTATTTTGACCTTGTCAGTAGCGCCACAATCAAAGGAATAGACATAGAACCACAAACAAATAAATATGTTATGATGTGCTGAAGTCACGTCTGCCCTTCTGAAATCAGTTGACGGTGTTGTCGTCCAAACTTTAGTTCCGCATATCATGGGGTTCGAAATGTTCCGAGTGCTGTCCTAGTAGGAAAATCATCTCATGACTCATCATCATCATCACTACACGTAGGCTGGAGGTGGAAAACACCTCAGCCATTGTGTCGCAATACAAACGACAAGAAAAAGAAAACAAACAATGGCACGCCCGCTAAGTCTTCAGTAACGGATGGACATCGTTCCTTAGAGCTAACAGCTGCCTACCGTAAAAGAGAGTTATTTTATGCCTAACAAGTGAGATCGTGATAGGAGGGGGATGCTAATCTGGAGGGGGATGGACAAAGGAACTCACAACACAAAAGCCATTGGGGTCGGCTCCAAGCCATATAAGCAAGTGTGTCCAACCAAACGTGTTCACCGTCCTTAGGACCCCAGCCAGGCAGTCGGGATGCACCAACCGACGCCAACTTCGAAGTGAGGGTTTTCATTTCTCTCGACCAAGTCATCACTTAGCCTCCCCTCTTCCTCTTTCAACCGCACCCACAACGCGCAAACAATGCAAGTCGAGGGAGTCGGTGTGCTGGCATGCGCAACACGTGGCCCAGTGATCGGAGCCTGGTGCGTGATATACTCGTGCTGAGCGGTTCACTCGCTCTTCCTGCACCAAATACACGCTGTCGAACACGCTCATTGCTCACGCGGTGCTCCCACCAGACATGAGCTAATCTGCGAAGTCAGCGATGATCGAATGTGACGAGCCCCTTTATGTCTGTCGACCTGATGGACCAGGTTTCACAGCCATATAGGAGAGTAGAACGGACGGCTGCGTGATAAACTCTGCACTTTAGGGCGAGAGTAATGTAGCGTCTGCAACACAGGTGGCGGAGATTTGCAAAAGCACCTCGAGATTTTGCTATACGGTTTGTAACCTCATCTTCAATCCCACGGGCGCTAATATAGCTGCTCAAGTACTTGAATTACTGAACGACTTCTAGCAGATCACCACCAAGCGTTAGCGCAGGGTTGGGTCCCTGTCAAGCTTGGAGAAGTACTTTGCATTTCGATGGAGTAAAGCACAATCCAAAACGATTGACAGCCAGTGCTAATCGGTCCAGTGCTGTTTGGCATCTCATAACTACTCCACAAAAAATCTGTGCATGTTAAAGAAAAATGACTATTTCGGCATAGGAAGTAGAACGTGAGCAGAAGTAAATCAGAGGGGACACTTACCACGAGGGAGTTTTTCGGTGTAGCAGGCTCTCTCACCGATAAAGATGAGCTTGGGATGGGAGCATGCTAAAATGAACAGGAAAAGTTACATAACCGTAATGACAAGGTTTACTGCAGATAAGGGAAACAATCTCGGTAATTAACAACATGATAAACGCTAGCATAATTCCATCAGTATTTGCACTGATGTTCCCTGACCCAGCTGAACTAATGGCGCTACAAATGAGGTAACGCCAGTGAAACAGCCCACTTCATCTCTTACTACAGAATGTTAAATCAATTTTAGCCTACGGGGAACTCAGCACTCGACAACATTATTCTAGTTGTCCTGAATAGAGGCTGGCTCCGGTGGCTGGGTCACGAGTTGCGCACGCAGCAAACCGACCACAAACCGCGCGTTGTTTGCGCGCAGCGGGTGTGGATGGAAGAATTAAAAGGGAGGGCGAAAGATGACCAGTAAAGGGGACTGAAGTCGCCCAGTCCGAACTTGGCGTCGGTTGTTGTTTCCCGGCTACCGGGCTTAGGACCGAAGGACTATGAACACGTTTGGTTGGATGCAGTTGTTGACATGACGAAGAGTCGATCTCAATGGCGTTTCTCTTGTGAGTCTCTCCGTTTCTCCCTTCCTCCTTATTTTCCCCTGTCCACAACGATCTCATACGTTAAAGCTATCTTGGTTAATTGACTCCGCATTGCTCAAGGTATTATCCTTCTTGTGTTGTGGCACATTAGCTGAAGTGTGTTTCACACCGTGGTATCGTGCATTTGTGTTGCTGTGCTGCTGATGCTGAGGATGATGATGGTGATGATGATGAGGAGGAGGAGGAGGAGAAGGAGGAGGAGGGGGAGGAGGAGGATGATGATGTATGGTGGCTGCCATGAACGTGCCACTGGGGCCTGTCACGTGCCCTGGACTGCGACCGAACGAACCACCTGGAGAGCATTGCAGACTATTATTATTCAATCCATTGAGCATTGACCTGGTTCCGTTTCTTTGTCTCTGACTGCATCCCTCTAGCTTTCCACACAAACGACCGGATGCTAATGTGACTGGCAGCGTGCGTGGATGTTGCATGTGGTATGTGCAGTCGCCTTCCGCCTATTGAAACTGCTCGTAACCAAATATGGTATACCAACAGTCCAACAATCGATGTACTTACAACTGAGAAAATCTGGGCTATTGTCGCATTTGCCGCGGAACAATTCCAAAAGAAGCTTTGATGTATCCCCAACCTGGATTGCTTACATAAGGACACGGTATCTCTATTCCCTAATATCTTGCCCATTTACACTGCTTTACTGTGTCGTGCAAGCGGTTAGCACATCGTATATTTATTCCTTTCACTCGATCACTGATATATCCTTGACGTTTCAAGGTCATTCATATTATTATGTTACTGTGACACTGCCCAAATACTCGCTCCGCCCCACGCTGTACAGTTTCTGCCCACTTGCATTACGATTGCAAAATCTATTCCTAAGTCATGTACTGTATTTAATATGCCTTATAGAACCACGGTTACACGGATAATTCGTTTGAATCTTCTGTCCAGACCGTGCTTTATGTCTAGGTTTATTTGTTCGTAGTTTCTAGTTTAGTTTACGTACGACGTACTTAGTTTAGGCTTAGTATCGTTGGTACATAAGTTGAATAGGGCAATCATGTCCGTTTCTGGTGATTCTCTTGATTATGTTGACGTTATTGATTCTGGGAAACTTCGAAAAGCTGAATGTAGTATTCGTCTGTTGGAGTCCGCTTTAACAAGCATGCGCAAGTTGCAGGCGAAAACCGTTGATGTTAAGGGCTACTGCGAACCTGAATTTGAGTCGGACGCGCTCATTAATGAACGATCGCGATTTATTCCAACCGACAATTGTGTGCTTCCGCCCGAAGTTGCCATCTGCTCGTCATTTTTGAAACCTGTTAATAGGGGTCCGCGCGTTCCGTCCGTAGCTCAGTTGGTTTGTCCGTCGGCATCCGTTGGTGCCCGCGTTCGATCCCAGTCGGGGGCGTTTTGCTCCGGCCTTCAAGCTGACAGTAACCTGTGTCCGGAACGCAAATCCAGCGATTTTGGACCCAGCACGTCATCCTGTCTTCCAAAACGTGAACTGATAACATTCGATGGAGATCCTGCCCGCTATTGGATGTTTATGCGATGCTTCGAAGCCAATGTTTCCAGAACTACTTCCGATCCAACTATCAGGCTTTCATATCTGATACAGTACTGTTGTGGCGAAGCCAAAGAAGCTATCGAAAGTTGCTTAATACTCGACCTTGGTGAAGGTTTTGAAGAAGCAATGAACATTTTGCGCAGACGCTTCGGACGTCCACATATGACTGCCAGGACTCACATTAATGCTCTAACTGATGGACCTAATATCAGGCACAATGAGTACGCGGCTCTGTCTAGTTTAACAGAGGAACTGCGTTCACGCTACTTGACGTTGAAACAATTGAGGTATGAATCCGATTTGAACGCGTACAGAACAATCAGCTCTATCATCAGGACACTGCACAACCATATGCAATCGTAATGCAAGTGGGCAGAAATGGTAGAGCGTGGGGCGGAGCGAGTATTTGGGCCGTTTCACAGTAACTTAATAATATGAATGACCCACAAACGTCCAGGATATGTCAGTGATCGAGTGAAAGGAATAAATATACGATATGTTAACCGCTTGTAGGACACAGTAAAGCAGTGTAAATGAGCAAGATATTAGGGGATAGAGATTCCGTGTCCTTATGTAAGCAATCCAGGTTGGGGATACATCAAAGTTCCTTTTGGACTTTACACTCCCCCGGCGGTTTCGTATTCCGGACGATGGCTTCCACAGCTCCATTCTCTTCTTCCTGGTACGCTTCTAGTAGGCACAGCTGTCTGACGTCTCTTCTCAATACACCTTTGCTTGTCCTCACCAGTGCTTGTCGAACTAGTTGGTCTTTGCTCTTGATAACTTCCTCCACAACACCCTTAGGCCACAGACCTCTTGATGTGCGTAAATCACAAACTAAAACTAAATCTCCCTGCCTAAAATCTCGGATTTCAGTTAACCACTTCTGTCTATTCTGCAGTGTCAGTAAATATACTCTAATCCACCTACACCAAAACATATCGGACAGATGTCTTAACTGTCTCCATCTTCTGCTCATTTTGATTGATAAATTGATCGGTGGGTATTCAAGCGACTGATCATTTGAAAGTGTTAGTAGTTGCCGAGGCGATATAGCATCTTGCGAGTCCGGGGAGTCAGGTACCGCTATCAAAGGCCTGTCATTCAATATCCTTTCGATCTCAGTGAGTGTCGTTACAAGTACCTCTTCGGTCACAACCTCGCCGTCGAGAATGTTACGTAATATATTACGAGTCGATCTAAGTAATCGTTCCCAAAGACCTCCGCGATGGCTAGCACATGGAGGATTGAACTTCCAGTCAACCTCTCTAGCCAACATAGACTTTGTGATCTTTGGCTGATCCAGCTGCTTCAGAAGATTGCGTAATCCTGCTTCAGCTCCGTGGAAATTCTGTCCATTATCGCGGTATATTACATTCGGCCATCCGCGTCTAACTGCAAACCTCGAAAACGCACACAAGAACGAATCGATATCCATGGAGTGGGAAACTTCTATGTGAACAGCTCGTGTAGTCAAGCAACCGAACAACGAGCACCAGATTATGAGGGATCAATCCACATTACTGATAGTTGATGTGACACGGAGGATCGACTCACTTCGCTGAGATACATCTGTTCTTCATCAACCAATAGAGCAAATATATGAAAGGAAATTTGGTGGACCAGATAGTCTACGACTAGCCTGTTCTGCGAACGATGGACACGCGTTAAAACTAATGGAAGCTTCTAAATGCAAAGTTGGTACCCACTACGTGATTGCGCTACCGTGGTAAACCCGGAGACCTCGGTTACCAGATCACCGACAATTCGTACTGACGATATTGCCATGTTGAAAAAACGTTGGTTGAAGTATGCCGCACTGCGCCAAGCATACACCAAGGCAGTGGAAGAATATATATTTAGAGGTTATGCTGAACTCGCTCCAGTACAGGAACAGCAGATAAAAGGGGAACCTGGTACATACCCCACCACTCGGTATCGCATCCTCGTAAGCTCGGTAAAGTGCGAGTGGTCTTCGATTGTCAGGCTTCATACCAGGGAACTTCTCTCAATCAACAACTTCTACCTGGTCCCGATATGTCAAACAATCTAGTGGGGGCGCTTTTACGGTTCAGGTTTCAACCGATCGCCGTTGCGTCCGACATTGAAGCAATGTTTCATCAGGTTAAGATTCCTGCTAAGGATCTGAATTGTTTGAGGTTCCTATGGTGGAAGAATGGCAATCTTTGTTCACCCCTTATTGAATACCGCATGACTGTACATCCGTTTGGCGCTACTTCATCACCAAGCTGTGTTAACTTTGCATTATGCCAAGCTATCGTTGACAGTTATTGTGAATCTCAAGCAGACGCTAATGAAGTCGCAGCGAACTGTTTTTATGTCAATGATTGTTTATTTAGTGTTGATTCTGTTCCCGAAGCAACTGAACTCGTTATACACCTAACTCGTGTTCTGTCCGACGGAGGATTTCATTTGACGAACTGGATCAACAATCAAAAGGAGTTTATCGCGCATCTACTTGACAGCGAACCAAAGGTTCTCAGAATGAGATAGTAGACTGAAGCGGATTGTGTTACAACTGCGCTTGGTTTAAACTGGAACATCACCCAGGACCACCTAACTTTTATGCTGGAAGGTTTTAATAAAACGTTGACCCGAAGAGCCATCCTCTCGTTCGTAGCTTTCGTTTATGATTCTCTCGGCCTCATTGCTACCGTGCTACTTCCGCCAAAGTTACTGTTACTGAGTTTCGCAAAAAAGAAGCTGGATTAGGGTGAACCTCTTCCCGCAGAGGATCAGCAAGCTTGGAGCAAATGGTTATCAAACGCCAATGGTCTGAACAGTTTGTCCGTCGAACGTTGTATTAATCCATTCGGATGTAGTGTATCTTCTGTGCAGTTGCATTGTTTTTCGGATGCGTCTGAGGCTGGTTA